GAATTTCTCCCTTGAAGTCCCTCATGAAGGTCATGAGTTCGTTCCTTGTGATGGGAGCAGACCCATCAGTCGGCTGCTGCCGAACAGGCAGTGCGCCTGCTGGCTCGCTTCCAGTTTGAAGATGTTCCCGTTCCCTCCTTTCGGTATGACGGGTACGTCGGGCCCTTAAGGTCCCGTCTGAAGCTGTGTGAGCTTCAACTTCAAATTCATTCTCAGTATCGTGGTCCGACTGAACTCGAGGGTCGTCCAGGGGACGTCTCTCTTCAGGAGCCGGTACAAACGTGGATGCCATCTCAGAAGTACTCTCCCCACAGACGGCGCCAAGATGTTTCGGGGTTTTCTGATGTCCTGCGGGAGAGTTACAATTCCGAGACTGGAACCGGACGCCTGTACCTGCAAAACAAACGGATGCTCCGGATGATTGGAGATCCGCCTCCGACGGTCAAGTTAGTACTTGATTAAGGAGTAATTAATGCGGAAATTAAAGTGATTGGGTCTCTCTAGGTGAGAGTGTTTAATGTGTGTAATCTGCGTTTTTAGTGTGTAATCCCCCTTAATGAGGATTAAGGGAGGTATTTATAACCTCGGGAAACGTGTCAATCTAGGTTTAGGTTAACCTTGGGCTGATTGGGCTTCCCTCGGAAGTTGGGCCTAGGCGACCGGTTATCCCAGGTGTCATGGGAAGGACACGTGTCGTGTCGTAATTGGTCCATAGTGGACGGATCATTGCTTGAAACGTGGCAGGCTCCTATTGGCCCATGTGACGGACACATGGCGGAACCTGATTGGTCCACTTGTCAGATGGTGATTGGTGGGGAAAAATCCCCTAATCAATAGGGGTTGGGTACGTGTCCAATTGTCCATGCATGAAAGGATTTTTTAATTTTATTTTCACCCTATTTCCATTTTAAGTAAACATATATCATCATTCTTCTTATACCTGAACTTGCAATATGATTACCTAATAAGAAAAATACACAGTAAAAATTAGTGATATACTCGTACTTGTATACTGTAAGAATTAGTAAATATTATATTGAGAACATAGAGCAACTCCAATGGTAAGCTAATTAGCAAATTAGCTTGTCATGCCATATAAGATTTTATGCTAATCTCTTTTGTAGCTAATTTGTGCTCCAATGGTTAGCTATTAGCTTGTCATTTAATTGAGCCTTAATTTATTAATTAGCCTTTTACATTTAATTTTATTAATGTATCAACCTATCTTTTTGGCAAGCAGATTAGCTTGGCCAAGCTAATTTGCTTGATTAAGTTAATTTAATTGTTTAGATCCAATGGTCAAGCTAATATCTAAGATATTTTCTAAATTACAAGCAAGTCTCTAGCTACAATTATTGAAGTTGCTCTAATAGCCGAATTGGAGTGACCTCATATATTTTTAGTTTTGTAATAAGAAATTAATGAATAATGTGATGAATAAATGAGACAAAGAAGCTAAGATGTAGTTAGAAGCATTTACGGATTATATATATTAAAATTAATGGGAGTGGGGAGAAAATATTTAGCTATAATATAATATAAGGACTTTTATGATCAAAATATTTGTCAATTGATTCACATGCAAGATGAACCAGTAGATGATTTTAGGCCGAAAACATGGACAGTTAAGTCAAGCCCATATTGTTGGTCCATTTTCTAGCTAATGACAGTTAATATCTCCAACTCTCCAAGTTGTGTTAAAAAAAAAAAATCTGAATTTGTTTCTCGAGTTGTGTTGAAAAATCTAAATTTGTTTTATAGAGATCAAAAAAGGATTTCTTATAGACGAAATAAGGATTTCTTTGCAGGTTCATTACACATAATGTACAATAATTCATTTTCCTACGTAAAATGTTCACATGTATTCATATATAATGTGTACACTCGGGTTTAAGAGGAATGTCTTGAGATTTTTTATTTTTTTTAACGACTTGAAATTTTGTCATTGAGTAAATGAAATTTAAGTCGACCAATTTAGAAGCTACAAAGGCCGATTAAAATCGGCATAGCCTTGCCGAACGTAAGTTGGCTAAGGATCCAGGTTAGGATCAGTGGCGGACCCAGGAATTTCCGACTGATGAGTCACAATCGATAACCAAATATGTAAAAAAAAAATTTGACAACATGACAAGCTTAGCTCTCTAATAATTGACAAGATTAAAATCTGTACAAGCATTAGGGTGTATTCACGATTTGACAGACATAATTGACTATATCATTAGGGTGGGTCGACTATATCATAAGCAATCGTCCGAATCGCCAATCAAATCAGCACATATGCAAAACCCCATATAAATCTACCAAAGTCAATGGTGTATTGACAATTTGACAGACATAATTAACATCAATAAACACCCTAAATAAACACTGATTACAATTCACACGGTCAAAAAGGTTCAAATTTCATCAAAAACCCAACAACATTAACAAAAGGTTCAAAGTTTACCAAACAAACAACAACAAAATCAACCAAAGAAAATAATTTTTTTTTTTTTTTTTTTTAAAAAAAAACTTAGAAATTTTTTTTGGGCCCTGGTGAGTCATTTGACTCACCATGCACAAGGGCAGGTCCGCCAATGGTTAGGATATTGGCTTAAGCATATAATACAATCAACTGATCAAGTATACAACCCAACCCAATACTCGGGACCAACTTAAGAAAACGACCCAATTCAAACTGATTTACTTGGAATCCGAGTGCCAAGGTGGTTGGTTTTCGGGTTCATACCAAAAACTTGTTTGCTCACGGCTTGAGGTTCAATTACTTGGATACTTCTACAACATAAGGCCAAACATAACAGTCACGAAGCAACGTTCTAAATTCGTAACAAAAGAAAAAAAAAAATAATAACTCAACGAAGCAACGTTGTAATCATTGACATAGAAAATAGAATCAATGAATAATTGATTAATGGGGCACAATGATGAACGTCTTAATCAATAGACATTGAATGTAGCAAAGGCTTAATACATAAGTCATAGATTTGGTTAACCACAATTAAACAAGTACATTACGTGTTACGGTTTAATCACTCAATTCCATCAAACTGAGATGCCATCATCCATAACCTGACAACTACCCATGATATTTTACTTATTAATCCTATGTTAGTTCCTATATCATGTTCACACAACACAAAGTTAAAAATAAAAATTAAAAAATCTTGTGTACTAAATTCTCCTCAAATTTTTTTGTTTTTTTTTTAAAAAATTTATTTCCCACTTTAGATTATTTTGTCGGGAAAACACTTTTTTAAGACAAAAAAAAAAAAAAAAAAAAAAAAAAACTTATTTTAGCTGAACTTATTTAAACTTATCCTAGAGTTCTAAACGCAAAAATGTTCAACTTTGAACATTTTCCTACAAGCAAGACCTTTCATGAAAAACAAGAAATACACAAATTCTTAATGCACATAAAGACACATATTAGGATCGAGAGTAACATATAACTACTTTAAAGATCATCTTTATTCATTAAGGTCTTGTTTCTAAGTTCAATTTACAACCAAAATAAGTTCTAATAGTATTTAATAAGTTTAAATAACTTCTAACAAGGTACGATTAAGACAAATTCATATAAATGAAACTAGCGGAATAAAATGCAAATAAGATAGCCTTTATAGATAAGTTTTATGTACTTATTAAATAGAAATTAAGATAAGATCTAAAATACAATCCGTACTTCTTATAAGTGCAAGGCAAATTCAATTAAGGTGATTAAGACATTAAGCAGTCCGTCACAAATGCCATAAATTATAGTAAATCCGCCTTGCAAATTTTGAAAATACATTTCGCTTTAATTGATTAGATGAAGCTGGAGACCTTTATGTTTTGTAAAAGGACAAAAATGTATTAATTTTGAAGAATGATAGAGGGAAACATCGCAAGCAGCTGCCAAACAAAATTCCAACCAAGATGTTTGAAATTCAGGTTACTCAACTTTTAATTTGGGGGGTCCTATTATTATCCAACTCATTTTTTCTGTATATCTATTTATGTCCTTTTTGTCCTTTCATTCATTCGACTTGCCTAGGATTTCCAGATGCTTTCTTTTTATCATTAAGGTGAAGTATCATACTATTTGTAATAGTAAGGTCCAAAGAAAAAAAGGAGTTTTGTGCCACAAATAAGGGTTATGAAATGCTAAAGTACTTAAACCACAATCAATATTGTTTGGACACAAATTTGAATGCCCGTCTTGTGTGCGGCAGGCCACACCGTTTGACGGTTTGTAAAATAACAAAGTAACCCCTATAACCCTGATTGAGTAACTCCTTTAACACTAACCGAGTAACTTCTATAATGCTGACAAAATAACCTCTTTAACACTGAACGAGTAACTCCTATAACACTAACGAAGTAACCCTAGGATGGCTAGCTACACCATGTGCATATAAGAATTTGTGTAGAACCTTAATCAGCTAATCTATGAAGACTTAAGATTAGGTTATAGAGTCAAATATTAAAAATATAAATTTAGAAAAAGGTATATTTATACTCCTTTCGTCACTTATTTACATGTCTATTTCTCTTTATTATGTGAGTTAAATATTAAAAATTGGCATGTAAATAAGGAATAGAGGGAATACTAAAATTGATTTAAATTGAATTCGGCAATAAATTGAAAAATGATTTAAATTGAATCCAGCATTAAATCTATGGAGATATTAATCACATTTTCTTAATTATGTTGAGATTATTACGGAGTACTAAACTAATTCTGTAGTCGTACTAAAATAATTGTACTTGGGGGTGGGGGGTTAATCACAATGCAATTTGTATCACCCATAGTTTAGTTCCAAAAAAATCTAAGGTTGCAATTTGTAGTCACTTGACATGCTATGATTTTACAGTGACTCAGTATATTATACTTTTGACACTTTTTACATACAGAGTACTTCATTTTAACCATCATACATACAGTCAAACAAAGTGCATAAATAACAATCTTATTAGATTTGACTCGATATATATTTCAATATATAACCTTCTCACATCTTATATTAACTGTATGATATTAAAGGTTAAGTTGCCTTAATACGTAAGAATATTACGAAATATATGTAACAATTTACAGAAAAAACACAAGCAATTCTCCGTAAACTTAGTGGTGGGTCCAAAAAACTTATGAAAAAACAACCTAATGCTAGAACAAAAATAAAATAAAAGAAAACATAGGGCTGTATGGCCCCACAATACAGCCGTGTTCCCACCCTTCACACTTTCTCACTCCAATCACGACGCGTAAATTCCTTAACTCGTAAATTAAACAATTCTGCCTCACATATAAATACACACTCAAACTTCAACTCTTTTCATCATCTCAAACTACCAATAACCAATAAAGCAATAACATTTTTGTACCAAAAAAGAATTGCACAAAAGAAAAAAAAACTTCATCCATCTTTTAGAGCACCAAGAAAGCAAAACAAAATGGGCAAGAAGAAGAGTTCATGTGAAGCAGCGGCTCGCCGAGCATGGCGACGCCTTCGAATTATATTGTTATGGGCTCAGGAAGGGGGTTTGCTAAAATGTAGGCTAATGGCCGAGTTACGGCACATGCCTAAGCAGCTCAAGGGACATTACAAGAAGTCTAAGGATATGATTCAGTATGGTGAGCGTCAGCTTTCTTTTGACGAGACACCAATGATACAATTTAGGATGAGCCGACCGTCGTCGTTAAGGTTCAAGATCCCATGTATCTCCCCTGAGGTTACTGATTTCGACTACGATTTTAGTAATGATGGTAATGATTATGATGATGTGAAGTATAATGCTTATGGTGCAAGGAGGAGTTTCCTAGGGAGCAATGTAGAGGATTGTCAAGAGGATGAGAATGAAGTATGTGAAGAAGCAGTAGTTTGTGGAGACTCGAGGATTGACGACAAGGCAGATGAATTCATTGCTCAGTTCTATGAGCAAATGAAGCTGCAAAGACAGATTTCCTATCAACAGAGGTATAATACCATTAAAGCACATTGAAAGAACCTAAATAATACAGTTCGAAGATTTGATTTGTTCTTTCTTCTTGTTAGGAGTTTTTGTACACTGAGGCATTACGGCATTTTGTAAATACCCGAGGCCTCATTTAGAGGGTTTTGCAGTGATTTCATTAATGAAAATAGATATTCTATTCAATAATCTATGAATTTTGGAAAGAAACATAGTTATGCAAAAGAAATTCAATTGATATAATACTCTCCAAACAAGATTGAATTTTTTTAAAGCGATTGTGTAGATTTTCTGGAGTCCAATGGAGTGGTTATTCCAGAGCTACTATAACCAACACCAATATTTTCTATCCAAAACTTCCTATTGAGCACAGAAAAGAAATTACTGACTTCTGTTCTGATACCCATGGATACAAAAAACGATGCTGCTTAGAGCTACAAACGCACCTCTTGATCATAATAGGCACAAAAATCATGCAGCAACCCTTACGCTATGTCTATCATTCCCTGAAAAAAAAGGGGCAACCACTGCGTTAGCTTGCTCCAACCCTTCAAGTAAACAACAGATAATCCAACAACTTTTTACAGATAATAGATGCTTACCGCTGTAAGAATTAAACCTATAAGATGCGCCAACGTAAATTTCCACACTAGCTACCATTCTGATCAGTCTTCAAATAACCCTCTAATTGATTGGTTGCTGCCAAAATCAGACCTATAATTGCAAAAAACAGGTCAAAACTAGGCCTCAACTGCTTGTGCTCAATCATTTAATGTGTTGCTAAGTGCATACATGGTTTTTATTCAAGCAATCATGGCATGCATGTTACTACTTGTAATGAACTGATTATACTCGTGCTAATAACAGTAAAATAAAGGAGAGGACTTGATTAAAGATTAATGGTTTCTTACAAATGGTAGTAGTAGATTTAGCCTACAAAGCTCATATTAGTGACTTGAGGTCACCACTCTCCCATGAGTGACTTGAGGTCACAACTCTCAATCCAATTTCTGCCTACCTATTTCCTTTCCTTCCCTCTCTATTTATACTAAGGACTATTAACCTAGTGAGCTAATATTAGTAGAATACCCATACTACCCTTCCTTAGGTTGATCTATTACACTACTCAACTAAACCGTATGTCTAGTGCAATTCTAGATTCGTTGATACTGAAAGGTTCTCCATATCGGGTTCAATCTATCTCAACTACTCCCCAGTGGATAAAAACTAGAAACAAGCTCCTCAAGCAAAAATCCAACTTAAATGCTAAAATTATACGAAGTATTGAATTTCCAAAGACAAAACTTGACCAAAGAGTAGTATGAAAGGCAAGAAAATGAATTAACCATTGAACAAGCCTACTATGTTTTCCCTAATATTTTAGCATGCAGATCTAAGGATTAAATGGTACAGCAGAATTTACCTAAGAACGGAGCAGAAGCTCTCCCAGGCCTTGATTTGAATTCTGGATGAAACTGCACCCCTACATAATATGGGTGACCAGGCAGTTCCAAGATCTGCACAAAAGGCGGTAAAGATTGACATATTTGAAAGTATTTACTAAAAAGCAACCGAATCTCAACTTAGCGTCTTTTTCCCATGGAGATTTTTCTCATGTATCATTGAATACAGACAATCTCCACAGAATCAGAACACATAAAAACCACACTTGATGCCACATTTTTACAACAAAAATCATCTTATAAAAACTGGGAGAAAATTTACCTCCATTCGTTCTCCACTTTCATCCCTTCCCACAAATTTTAGACCACCATCTTCTAAAGCATTTACTAGATTTGGATTTACCTGCAACATACATTTCAAAAGTTGGGTATACAAATCTGTATACAAAAAATATGGTAAAACACAGAAATCAAGCATCAGGAAATGGACCTCATATCTGTGGCGATGGCGTTCGTCCACAAACCTTGAATTATGATACCTAATCAAGGGAAACATCCGAGCAAAATAAACTATCATTAAAAAGGAATTCATTTCATTTGAGCAGCGCCCTTATCTCAAATTCAGATATAAAAACAAAAACCTCTATAAGGTGCCAAGAATAAAACAAAAAAAGCCGAACTTACAATTTAGAGGTCACACAATGGGGGGTCTTAAACAATGTTTTCCGAGAACCTAATCTCATTGTGTTTCCCATATGTGTTCTGGAACCCTGCGTGCACAAGTAAATTGGTAACTACCACATAATAATCTCGTTCTTCACTAAGATTCTCAACTAGATATTCTCATGGCATACCTCTGGCATAAACTTGATCACAAGATTGGAAGCTTTCTCGTCAAACTCTTCACTATTAGCATCTTCCCAACCCAAAACCTGCAACAGATAGTAAACAAATCTCATATTCAACCAATATCAAGAAATAGAAAATTGAGTTTTTAAGTTTCTTTGGAATAAATTAACTCACGGATCTCGCAAATTCTATGACAGAAATCTGCATGCCCAAGCAGATTCCCAAATATGGAACATTATTTTCTCTAGCATACTTCGCAGCTAATATCATTCCTCCGATTCCACGATCACCAAATCCACCCGGGACCAGCACACATGAAGCACTCTGTACAGATAATTCATGTGGTTTATTTTATTTATAGGAATTGAATTCATCTTAAGGAATACATTTGCCAGCCCAAAAAGTAGTCCTCTAGTAATTAAAATGTAATAATCATCATTTTGTGGAACTATAAGGAAACTTAGGAAAACAAGAAATTTTGCACAAAGCACATGATAGCCTTTAAAGCAGGAGAAAAATAAATAAATAAATAAATAACCCATTACATTGTTTTATATTATAATTTGAAGACTTTCCAGAAAAATTAGTGGTACATCTAAAACCCCGTATTTCATCCCACAGTGGAAGAAAAATCAGATAATATAAAGTAATGCTTTTAGGGAGCGAAGCAAAGGTAAAACACAAATCCAAACCTTAAGAGTCTTCCATGCAGAAGCATGGGCTTCTGGTGTCTGCAAATAAAACAAACTGTCAAATAAATGTTCAGAAATTTAGCCAAAGTTCCATTTGCAATACAACACTTGCAACAACCTTCTGCAGAAATACAACAGAAGATAACATAAGAGATCTTGGTATAGGGGGCTAGCTACCGATTTGGCACTTTCATCTTCAAGGTCTGAAGCTGCAATCCAGTCAATAGCTGGCTTCATGGAACACGCAATGCAGGCATGTAAAAGCGCCTATAAACGAGATCACCATCATGTAAGTAAAATTATAATAAAATTGTCATTAGAGCTTAATAGGCAGTGGCATAGAATCCGTGTAAACATTGTATAATATTGATGACAAGTCATTGAGAAAATATTGAGATTCATGTGGTAGTGAAAAAAAAAAGAATCAGATGTCTCACTAAGCATTCCTCCATTCTCATTTTTGAATTGTGGTAAGCTGAATTGTTTCTAGAAGAAGCATATTCTTTGCAATTGCGAGAGTAAGACTCCACACATCAGAGTGATCTGACCACCACACAAAGGTGAGGGACTTTGCGAGATCACGAGACGCATTTAGAAAATATATGGTGACAGTCTGATAAATTTCCACATTCCATTCATGAATAAAAGCTGCTAGAGGGATTTAAGACCTCATGAAACGAGAGGGAAAACATTTTCAGAACAATACCATGCAGTTGATCACTCAGATATCAATATAATAGTACCTCTTTGGATGTGTTTGGTAGGGCAGAAACCATTTTATAGGAAAGCTGGTTTTCCTTCTTTTCCTTCATTTGGTTTGTGAAGGGAAGAAAATAAGTTTTCTTTAGAAAAAAGTTTATCCAGGGTGAAAAATGTTTTCCTCTAGTGAAGAAGGGATGCTACACTACCACAAGTTTCTTCATATCCCAATACTTCTTCCTCCTCTCCTCCTTTCAAAGTTAAAACCCTTTCCCCTAATTTTCTGTTTCCCTTTCTCTCTAACATTTCTATAAAAAAGTCAATCAAAGAAAATGAAATTCCATTCAAACTGTTTTCCTAAAAACCATACAACCTTCATGTCTAATAGACATAACAACAGCATCAAAACCAAATCATTATTCCCATTTCCCAAAAGGATGGGATTGACTACATGAACCGAAATTTTCTCTCGCAGTCATTCAGAAAGATCCTTTTCATCCATTCGCTTATCTAGTGTTACATATAGTCCTACAAACCCACTTTCTTCGTGTCATTCATAAATCTCTCTATTTTGGCCTCCCTAGGAAAATCAACAGAGTCCTTATTTTATCCTCAAAATCCAGAACTCTTAACTTTGTTCCACATATCTATTTTCCTAATTAAATCTAAAAAGGTATTCCCACACATTCATCTGAACATACACCTCTTCTACACTCAATTTACTTAATATGCTCCTTCCTAAGTGCACAACATTTTGACCTGTATAGTACGGCTGGTCTGATTGTCGTCCTATAGAAGTTCCTTTTAGCCTTAAAGGTGCACATATGTTGCACAATAACCCAATCGCTGCTCTCCATTTGAGCCACCTATCCATGATTTAGTTCTATATTTTACAATTATATGATATCCCTATTTCTCAGTAAAATCAAATGAGATAATTAAAACATTCACTAACAAGTAACTTCTTAGTTCTTACAATCTAAAGTCACAAAATTTTCACTTAGCCCCCTCCCAATGCTCATGTACTCTAAAGTCTAAACTAACACCACTTTTAGTCTCATCAACCATCATGATATCATTCGTAAACAGCAAATATCTCATCTTGGATAGACAAAGAGGAAAGGACTTAGAGGCTAAAAGCAGATCTTTGGTGTAACCCAACCATGATAAGAAAATACTACGTTCTCCACAAATCCTGATCTTTGTTTTCACTTCTTAATACATATACTTACTTAGGTCAATATACTTGCATTGATTACTCTTCCTTGTCATAATTGCCACCAAGGCACCTATTTCGGTACCTTATCACGTGCCTTCTCTAAATTACTCCCTAATAAAAACCATGATCAACTTCTTCTTTCTCACCCTACAACAATCCATTTCAACCTCATAAGATTATTAGCTTATTTGGTAGATTATCCCAACATAAACCCAAACTGAATGTCCAATGTACTAGTACATTTCCTTAATCTATGTTCTATCACTCTTCCACAATTTCATGGTATGCCTCATAAGCTTAATCCCTCAATAGTCTAAACCGAGCTTCTCCTTTGTTCTAACAGAGATGGAATCCAAACATACAGTAAAGAGTAAGTAATTGTCACCATATTAAAAATTAGAAGATATCTTTATCTAAGTGTAACACATTGATGGTCATAATAGAGATAATTTGACAACCAGGAAGCACGATTTAGATAGAAGAATTGTTAAAGCTATGGAAATTAAGCATTACCTTTACTACGGACAAATAAGAATCTGTTAAACCAACATACTTTCCAACCATAGCAATCCTAACCTGCCACCACCAAACTTTAGTTAATACACTAGAAAAGGTACACCAGAAGTGAGAAGATGAAGCAATTAGGAACTAACAGAGTTGGAAAGGTTATCATATGTCTCAGCCCGAGTTGTCCACTCTTGTAAATTGGGAGTTTCAGCAACACTGAAATCAATTCAATCTGGTTAGCGAAAAAGAATCTCTCAAGAACTCAATCCCTTGATCCCACAAAGTCCTTATATATTGTTCTTAGGCTCAGATGACACAGGACGATTAAAAAAATAAATAAATAATAGATAAATAAATAAATCATTTTAAATATATATGCCTTCATTGCACCAAACCTAGGCATTTGGGACCAATCATTTGCAAGCGAAACCTCAAAGACCAAAGTTAACATGAAATATATCTTGTAGTTGAGCCAATACATACAAAGCAGGGGTATGAGAAAGAATATCTTACTCGAGTAAATTCAGCTGTCTCAATATAGCAGAGTGAGCATTTTGATTCTGAAAAATAGAGCATAAAAAATTCAATAAGACCCTGTCATGAGGAGGTGTAGTTGTAATGGAGCATGTGAAATTTAGAAGTTTGAAACATCATGAATATGAAAAATAAACCGACCCGCAGTAGAAGTGGGACATGCCAGATATTGGGGACATCATGAACATTAAGAATATTTTCTGCCTGCAGAGTCAAAAAAGGGAAGTTAAGGATGGAGTCACCAAAAACTATCACATGGAGCCTTCCAAAGAAGCAGTCAATTACCGGAACATGGCAAAATTGTGAAAGCTTCTCCTTGGTATTTTCAAGCAAAGGCTGCTCAAAAAAGAAAAAACAATAACACAGTAGCCAATTAAGCATCTAAAAGGCTAAAACTCTTCAAAATCTAATGAGAAAAGGCTACATTCAGACTGCCAGGAACCAAAACGTTGTTAGGAAATAAACAATCGAAATCTGCAAAGTTTAATAAGTTAGTCTCACACGTAATGGCTGCTAAATTAAGAAAAAGATCAACCTGTGCAGATCGGCATGCAAGTAAATGAGGAGTCAAGCCTAATGCCCTCAGTTCTCTCACACTATGTTGAGTAGGCTTCGTTTTCTAAAAAGAAGAAAGAAAGAAAACACAAAGGTCACAAAAGACAAAGAAAGAATATGCACCTAAGAAAATAGACTAAAGAAACATGTGAGTTTTGATCTTTGAACAAAGCAAAATCAATATAAAACAAATTACAAGTGTCCATAAATCATTTTAGGCATCAAAAAGTACCTGCTCACCAACAACACCCAGAACAGGAATCAGGCTGACATGAATGAGGCAGAAATTTTCTTTTCCTGGAAATTCATACAAAAATAAGTATGTGATGGAAAGGACGATGAAGTATCAAGACTATTAAGCTGCAAATCCAGTTAGTTGACTGACTATTGAATAATATCTTCTTAACAAGAACAGAGAGAGAGAGAGAGAGAGAGAGAGAAAGAGAGAGAGAGCCTTAAAGTTACTAGATAAGACTTACGGAAACAAAAGCAAGAATAAAACAGAAGGGTTGATATTCTACAAATCAAAACAGTCACAATATTAACTTCAGAGATGGAAAATTTGCTAATATATTTAGACATACCAACTGTGATATAGAGAAACAAATATGTTTAAGAAACAAGTGGATTGATATTCTATAAATGAAAAGAGTCACAATATTCACTTCAAAGATGGTAAAATTGCAAAAAAAAATTTAGACATACCAACTGTAAAAGATAATTGTCGTAGAGCTTCGATAAATGGCATTGACTCAATGTCACCTACAAAAGACACCGAAAGAGGTTCCTACATCTGGTTTTTAAAATATAGTAAAGCAGTTGCAGAAAGAGTATTAGAAGTGGGGAAACCCTACCTACAGTCCCTCCCAACTCTATAACACAAACATCAGCAGGCTCATTATTTCCATCGACAGGGATGTTTGCAACTCTTTGAATCCATTCTTTAATGGCATCAGTTATGTGTGGAACAACCTGTAGGAAAAATAGTTTAGTCATTATGCATGACAAACTGCTTAAAATTGCAAGACACCAGGGACTCGTAAACTAAAACTATGAAACCACCTGCACAGTTTTTCCAAGATAATCGCCTTTTCGCTCCCTTTCAAGGACAGACTGCAATAAGGTATAAAAAGTTGATTATTTGAGAAAGCTAAAGGACAAACTTAGACTGACATTAATACAAATCATTTCTTACCTGATATATCTTCCCAGTGGTAATATTATTGTCTCTTGTAAGAGTCACATCAAGAAATCTCTCATAGTTGCCCAAGTCTAAGTCAACCTTTTATGAAACAAGGGGTAAATTAGAATCCTATGTAAAAAGGTCAGATTAAAATCATGTTCAGCCAAGATTAAGCTAGAAACCAGAATGAAGAGCATATCTTGGGATGCAAAAGTACAACTATATAATTTAGGGGCAAGTGAAGTAAATCAAATCTTCAATTATTTTGCATTAGTGTTTACTTTTAAGTTTATTGGTATCCTAGTGTAGTAATGTATCTATTTCTTGTCTTACTTGGATATCTTTGATATTCATTTTACCTATTGCTTGCGCATAATACATCTGTCAAACATAATAGTTGTGCCAGATAAACTTAAAAGACTTTTAAAGGCGTGAAGCTAGATACCAGTAAACTTGAAAGTCAATGCTAAAACAAAATACTAAAAATTATTAAACATTTTTTCCTATGTCTCATAATATAACACAGACAGACAGTGTGCTAACAAAACATTGACTGTTTGTTTCTATGAATTCTTTCAAGAATTGATTATAGCCAGTTATATGCATAGATTTCCGAGTGAAAGATGAAACAGAAGTTAATATGCAAGTTACAGAGTAAATCATAAACAAACGCACTAAAACAAACAAATGAGCATGCCATCCATGAATGGACATTTATTTGTTATAAATCCTAAACTAAACATGCAGAAGATAATAGAAACAAAACCAAACCTCTCCACCATCATCAAGTACAAATACTTCTCCATGCTCAAAAGGAGACATAGTGCCGGCATCGGTATTCAAGTAAGGATCTGCAATGTAAAGAAATTGTGGCCATAAACAATCGTCCCATACATTCAAATAGCTCAAAGACAAAAGAATATAAATGGATAAACATTAACAAGATTACAAGAAATATCACTCACAACAAAAGGAACACTTCAATATGATAATTAACACTATATAAATTCATATAGGGTACAAATTCTTTCCTTAGAAACCCACGATTACATCATGAAAAAAAAAAAAACTAATATAAAAACATATAAACTCAAGCATAGAGAAAATAATAAACCTTATTAGCAAAAACTATGTAACAAACCAACAAGCAATAAATTGATAATATAATAACCTTACATTAACAGCAAACATGCAATTAACACAATATAATTTTTCTAAAAAAATCTTGGGAGTACCAAGTAATAGTAATATTTTACCTCGAGATAACTATAAGTATACATAATAAAACACTAATTTTAAAAAAGTCTTGATTACAACCAGCACCAAATTCCAAATTTCCAACAAAATCCATGGGTTTGCAAATTAACAAGGATGGGGTCGACTGCATGGACTAAGAATTATCTCGTGTGTTCATCACAAAGACCCTCTACCACACACTACAATACAAACAAGTGAAACAACTAATCAAATAAACCAATTACTAATCATATAAAGTGGTGACAGCTTAAGCAAAATCTACAAATGACAATACAAACTACTTAATCAGAAAAGCAACAAATCAATTACCAGACACCAGTTAAAGTAAGTGATGACAACTTAAGCAATACCCACAAATTAATTTATAAGAATATCAACCAATACAATCAACCCATTACAAATTAACTCCCAACACATGCAATCATCCCAACACAAATTAAGATAAAATAAAAGGTGACATCTTTAGCAATACCCACAAATCAATTCACAATCAACCCATTACAAGGTAAAGTTAAAGTTGACATCTTTAGCTATACCCACAAATCAATTCACAATTAAAAAAAAACCAAAAAAATCATAAACCCATCAAAATTTAATGTAAATTTACTTAAATTACATGAAAAAAAATAAGAAAAAACTAACCAATCTTAATGGAAGTGACACGAAGACCACAAGCTTTGAGCACAACACCTATACTACTAGCCGTAACACCTTTACCCAAACCACTAACAACACCACCAGTAACCAAAACATACTTCATCTTTCTTTCTCTCTCTTCAATATTTTTATGTAATTCCAAATTTAACCCTCTATTTGAAGAAGAAGAAGAAGTACAAAAAGGGTAGGAAAAGCGGCAGACAGTGTTAATGTAGGGCAACTGTTTGATAAAATGCGTAGCAGAGCGGGAAACAATTGTTGTTGTTGTAGTTGTTGTTGTTGTTGTTGAGAATGAGGAGAGAGAAAGTAATGATTTTGATAAACAGTTTAACTTCAACATAACATTTAAGGTCAAATTTCTACTTTTACAAATTGGGAAGAGAATCTGGGTTTTTTCAATTTTTGGGAAAAAAAAAAAGCTGCTATGAAAAAATTGAGAATTTATTTATATGAGAGGGATAGTGGGAGAAAAAGGAAGATTGAAGGTGGATAATAAAAAAAGATTCCGATGCCGGGAATCGAACCCGGGTCTCCTGGGTGAAAGCCAGATATCCTAACCGCTGGACGACATCGGAATTCGTTGTTATTAATTAAACTTAAACAAAAAATATATATAGCACAACGACAATACAAATAAGGGTTGAAATTGAAAATGATTCCGACACATTAAAAATTAATTTTGGCTTATCTTTATGTGAGAAAATATACTACCTTCGTTTCATTTTTTTTTTTTTTTTTGCAACGATTAGACATGTTTTACTCACACTTTATGTCAAATCGTTGTAAATAATATAAAATAGAAGTAGTAGAAAATTACGTTTTCATAATGGTGTGCCAAAATCATTTCCCTCAATTAAGGAGACAAACTAATTACCTCTTTGCAATTTGAATATGAAAAAATGCGTACTTATTGAAAATTTTCAATTACTATGTACTACATATAATTTATATTTTTGAGAGAAAATTTTGACTCATATTTTTCAATTAGTGAATTATATAACCTGAAATTGGGGGTTACAACTTACAAACAAATTTTGTTGAATAATTTTCTTAATATGCGATGGAACATTTTACAAATCCTCTTTAGCCATATAGGAATAATTTTTCTTTGCGATTTCAAATTATCCCCCCATATTAAAGATTCTGGCGCGCCACTCTATGTTGCTCTCTGTTTTAGTCTAACTTGGATGTTCTGCTGCAACACCATAACTCTAAACTAGTACTAAGCGTTTATGCCTGTACTAATGTGGCTGTATTTTTTGTTGTTCTCTGCTTTAATCTAACTGCATTTATGCTGGTTCATACAGCTCAAAAAATTATGTTGCTCACGACTTTGTAAACTTTGTTGCTCAATCTCATAAGTTGTTTTAATGTCAACTTTCCAAAAAATTAACAAGATATTGTATAAGTTGTATTAATTTCAAGTCAATTATCCAACTTTTTACATCCAATGTTGAACAAATCAAAGACCCAAAATTGGGGATAGACCATAATACACAAAACAGTTCCGAAATATGTATTTTGTCCACTTTCCTCCATAACAATCCAGACGTTGGAGGGTTTCATAACAGCAGCTGAATTATAAGGATCACTTCTTCTACAGCCCTCGCTAAAGATGAGGTTTGAGGAAAAAACTCGACTTTGTTCTTATAACAATCAACTCAAAGTATCAACATTTCTCGAAACTTGCTATGTCTTATGTCAGGGTAAAAAAGATTACAGCAAACCTAGAAAGTCCTTGAGAATTTCCTAATCTCATGAATAATTAATTGAATAGAGACGAGATCCTTGTTCAGTGCAGACCCTCCCTGCACCTTCTTTACACACTCTGACAGCCGTGTGTAGTAAAGCAGCAACTGGGTTAGTGAAGTTCTCAAGATCTCCATGCCGCACAAGAAATTGCTGAAGGATGTTATCACATCTTTGTGCATCAGCTCAATTGCATCTTTCCATCTGCTAGCAAAGTCCTTCACAAGTGGCTCAACTTCACTCACTGATATGACCTTCTCAGAAGTTGAACTTTGATCCTCGGCTAATCGATGAGTACCAAATCAGCATTCAAAATTATGTATTAGTATCCATGAAGAAATGGAAATAAAAGCAAAGGATATATTACACAAAATCACCAGTATAAATCTATAATTTTCATTTTTTAAAATAAGTTGCTTTGAGAAGAGACTACATTTTACCTACCATTGCACTCATATCATATCAAGACTCAGAGTTAGTACGTGGTAGATCGAAAATATTTTCAGGTACTCCTTCCATCCCATATAACTCTTGTTAGGTGTTTTAAAGCTATTAAGAAAACTAGTAGGGGTCTAGGCCAAAAACTGTTAAATGTAAGATTAAATTTGAAAGTGGATTGAGAGTAAAATTCATCTCATATTGGGGTAAATTGTTAAATTAAAGTAGATGGCAGGTGAATAGTTTTGGGGCACCCCAAATTAGTATACAGGGATATAATTATATGGACAGAGGGAGTTAAAGTGATTTGATTTTTTTTTCTTAGGATATCGGAATGCTTAAGCAATAACATTCACAACTTGTAAGGTGTTTGATATACTGGAGGAAGAAAATACGCATCTGCATGTCAGAGTACTCACATGCCCTGGTCTTCACAAACTTAATCAAATCACTGAAGTGCTCCAGCAGTAGTTCTTCCTGAATAAACAAGGTACCAATCGATGTTTATACAGCCACATAAAACCACAGAGTCAAAGTCACTAACAAAATCAAATACAGAAATTGAAGAGCCAACATGGCAATGCTTAACTTCAGAAGAAGACCTCATAGAAAATTTTATGCTGGTCACTTACCACATATATAGTTGTTTGGCTCTTCAGGACCTCCTCAAAATGCATCTGAATCTTACCACCATCAGGACCAGCTTCCTGAATTTGAAAAAAAAAAAAAAAAATAATATGAAATGAGGCTCTCAGTTGAAGCAGGTTGTCCATTAACCAACATAACCACTTTTACCTTTAAGACTGCAATCGTCATATCATAGTTATTTATAAGAAACACACTTTGCAGTTTTGATTTAAGAAACTGCGTAGACAGCTTCATAATCAAATCATCAACTGCCATTCTAAGTCTTTCCAAGTTCATCTCCAGCTGAAAAGAAACAGAAACCAATGTAGTCAAGTAATTATATGCTCAGGTTACAGGAGTGATAATTCTTGGAGCATGAGGATATGAATTAGCAGACCTGGCCATCTCCGTAGTCAACATTGAGATGAATGAGGGAGGCAGTAAACTCAGCATAACGCCTCATAACATAGTGAGGACGAACATCATCTTCCCACAACGTTTTCACATTTGCATTACGTAGACTGTTGATGTGCATGTCAAAGACCATCTTAAAACGGGGCCATAGTGCAATGTTCACCTGGTCACATAAAAGGTACCAAGAAACCATTATGTTGCAGTTGTATATAAAACCAGGAAGATTTGAAGGTTCAAGTTGCACATAAGTATTGATGTAAAGCAATTAAAAGGAAATCAATCATCTAGTTAAAGGAGGAGTCTTTTTACACAATTCATGGCAATAGAAGTTACTTAAAAGAAACGCACCTTATCCAAGTATGAGTCCAAGCAAGGAATCCTTCTTCTTGACATGATAAGCTGAAATAAAGACAGAGAGTCAATTGATATGACATAAGTCATAGGTTAGCAAGAAAATGGTAAATAAATATAACAGAAAAGTACCTGGTGCTGATGGGTAAGGCGAATCATGAGCATTAGCCCAATAGCGTCAAAAGAATTTGACAAAATTGTGTTGAAGTGCTCATCAATTACTGCAAATGGACCTAGCAAAAAGGAGCAATAAAATCATCACAGTGCTGGCATAAAACTTGGGTTATTGATTAGTTAGATCAATTATCTTAAGATGAAGAACAATCAAAAGTCCATATTTGGCATGGTACAGGGGGAAAGTGGCTTTGATTTTTGGACCATTTTCATTGAATCGGAGCATGGGAATCAAGCTTTAAAGCATCATTAAGGAAGTTCCAGAAGTTCTAGATGTTGAATAACTCTTTGCCTTTATGTCATTTTAACTTTCATCTCCAATGGAATTACATGATATGGTAAGGATAGAAATGCCATTTTGATATTCAACCATTTAGAGAGCCAAAAACTGCTGCAGGCAGAGCTTGACCGTGAGCCTTGCAGCTCCCACCAGGCCTTCCAATGACCAACAAAGCCATATCAATGATTTGGTCTTGCACGTGCTAGTGCCTTATGTGTACAATATAATACCCTTCAGTAGTTTGTATTGGATTTGGTTATCATTTAATTTAAGCATTAAGATAACAATATAAGGTTAGGATAAACTACTTCAGGGTTTCTTTAAGGTTTTGTTCCCCCCTACAAAAAAAGCACTGGCTCTCCATATAATGAACACACATTGCTAATTGATGATTGAAAACATTTTAGTTCCCTGAGAACTATCACTTCCTTATGATAATAAGGAATGTTTTATTGGTAATTCAACCTTAAGTTTTTGCAACTCATATCAACATCTTTGGTTCGTATTACTAATACATACTTGTCAGCCCCTGAAGAGCCACTAGGTCTAATACCTAGTATAGGGTATCACATTAGTGAAACTGTGAAAAGGATGAGAGATTGAACAGGGTAGCTTATTCCTATTTCAATTTCCTTGTTTTTAATCTATATTTCAATCAAATAATCATACAACATTTTCCCATAGCAGAACTCCAAAATTCTCCCCAAGAGACAACTTCTACCCCATTCGAGATATAACAACTTGATTAATTAATTGCTTGATAAAATAAACAATTCAGCCTCAAGGCCAATAACATATATGGATGAGATTATGTCATCTCATGAAACTTTTCATTATGCTAATGATATAGAATGTCATATCTCTACCAACTAATCCCATTCTAATCGTGATACACAAGACTTCAAGCACAGGGTGCAAGATGCCAAGTTAAGAGGCATCATGGACCATGGTCTTGCACTAAAACAGTACTCTGATAGAAAATTAGAAAAAACACCATGCATTGACTCTAGCTAAATAGATTCTAAATGTCTTCAACACCCCAGCCACTTGAGAAGGCACAGCAAACTAGCTGATACAGCATTTCACTCTCCTAGAATAAGACAATCACTATAATGTGTTATAAGTTGAGGTTTCTCACACAAGGTGACTTGCATATCATCCTCATCCTCCCCTCCCCCCCCCCCCCTTTCCCTTTCATTAGTCATTACAAGATACCACATTACTGACTTGAATTCTTTAGATAAAACGAATAGCCTGAATGATTACCTGCAAATATTTCAGTAAATAAGGACTCTTCTCCAAAAAATTCATCACAGAAAAGATACCTGGAAGGTAGCAGATTTGATCAGGTTGCATACAAACAATTCAAAGTAGAACCTAATAGTCATTGAATTTTAACGATGCAAAATGGCATTCTAGTGCATACTCAGAACTGGCAGTGTCCATCAGCAACTTATGCAGGCTCCGGAAAAGAACTTCATAAGGATATTTCTGAGAGCTCGCTTCTGCTATATGAGGAATCAATGCAGGTTGATCAATTTCCTGAAGGCGACATGCAGTTTACAAATATGAAGGTCAACAGCAAGCAAACATCACATTCCAGCAGGGATATAAAAATAGCATTAAATGATGAATCATCACAAAAAGCCAAAAGAAAATGAGCTTTATACATTAAAATCCAGACACAAGGACAGCCAGAGGAGTGGACAAATGCAATAACAAGAAATTCCTTGCTAAACCACAATGAACAAGGAGCTAATCTACGGGCTAGCCCTCTCCTGAAAAGATTAAGCTGTGAACTTTTAGTCATACTATTATGTGTTCCATTAATTCGTCGAATTTAAAAATTAAAGGCAAAGAACAATAATAAGAACAAAATACGAGTAGAAAGTTCCATTGTAGGTAACATGCAGGGAAGAATAATACACTGTATAACTCTGACACCAGAGTAGCAAATGCAACTGCCGCCTATTTAACTGTTTCCCTGCTTATTTATTGTAAAATAATTCTATGTATAAATTCGACAGTTGTTTTTTTCCAAAAAGATTTACCAAACACATAAGAAACTCTTTGCAAGATATGTGCATCACATTTTATTGGGATGAATAAAGAAACTTATCAGGCATACAATCATCTTTATAACGCCAGAAACCCTTTAAAATGCGCTTTTTGCAAATTTTAGTAGAGATTAGGATGATAATTATAGTGAAATGAAATACAGTGATTAACTTAAGTGATAACAATTACTTTAAAATATCTAAGAATTTGTACTTCTTCCATAAACTGCTACAAGTATGACAAAATAAGTAGTGGGGATCTAAACTTACAACAAGTGATCAGGATTATCCAGGTTGCAAAGTTAGATGCAGTACAGTAAAAAAAAAATAAAAAAAAAATTAAAAAAAAAATAAAAAAAAAAAAAAAAAACATGCACGAGACAGCAGCAGAAAGTTCAAACACCAACCAGCTGACAAGGATTAACCATGAACAGTCTTTATGGGAAAGAAAAAAATACCTTTAAAATGTTTATTCTATCCCCCAGAGAAAAAACAGAAGAACGGTTCTTCAAAGGCTCTCTTCTGGTTGAGAAAAGACTGGTGCCTCTGGCTTCAACACCAATCAAATCATTTGATGTTGCTATATCAAGTTGCAGTTTCTCCAAGGCTTGTATATAAGCACGGAAATGTGCACTCAAAACCTGTAACATTGGCCAAATTTAATTACTGCCAAATTTACATAAAAGATAAACAATAAATACAGGAGAATTGTTCTGCATCAACACTTAGCTCATTAGAGAGGAAAACAAAAAAAGAATGATCTACCCGATCATATTCTTCTGAGAGGCTCAAGCAAAAGCTTCATTCTTTTCCATTCCTTCACTCCTTCCCCTCCCCCCCCTCCCCCCTCCCCTCCTCCACTCACCCAGCACCTAAAAAATGCCATATCTGTTCTCCAAACAGAGCTTGACAAAATCATCAGACTCTAACTATGATTAAGGTTAAGGTTATATCTTAAATGTAGACCGCATAACAATTCTATCTATGAAGGATACAATTACGATTCTAGAACGTGAACATTATTTCATTTTTGGGAAAAAGACCCTGAGATTAATGGCTTGTTTATAGTCACATATTTCCAACTTTTGAGGGCTCAAATTGATAGTTGATACGTATTATTTGTCAGTATTCACCTTGTTCATTGTGTCAAGGTAAGCTGCACGGGCTTCTGTATACAATTCTTTGCCATGTTCTTTAAGAAATGAAATAACATACCTGCATATTAACAGTCAAATATCAATTATTCTGCATGGACTTTACACACATCCCAACAAGATTATTTCAAGTAACCTGTAGGATTAAAAGTACTTCTCAAGGCCCTAGAAATGATGAAAATATTCACAATATACATTTAAAGATTTTAGAATTGTCATTCAAGACAGTAAAGTAGTCAAGAACATTAAGAGAATGTAAATCCCATTTGTGCCACAGATCTTAAGCATACAAAATGCAATGTAGTGCATCATGGAGAAATTAAACAGATTAAACTTATAAGTTATAACAATGAAAATTATTCCACTAAAAGGTGTAGAAATTTATGATCTCTGAATTTATCAGGTATATATGTAATTTTGGCAGGCACCACTTACAGACTTACTTATATTTCAAAAGGACACTTTGTTGAAGGATCTGTATGTTTGTTTTTGGTTTTCTCAACGCATAAAGCTTCTGAACAATGAAATCAAAAACCTACAAAGTCACAAACACATTCAGTCACTCACAAATGCAGTGATGAGCTTCAAAAAATAAAACATTTATACTATATAGCTAAAATGTGAAGAAGTGCAGTTAATGCTAACAGTTTCACTGTGAGCAAAATAAATCCAATAGAAGATTTTGCAAGTCCTTGTGCCACAAAAGGTTACCACATACAAATTTGACAGTAAGAACATTTTAGCAGATTGATGTGCCATTCAAGATATCAAAGCATGACATAAGATCGTGGAATAACAAGATGCAACAGAAAATTTTAGCTTCATAAACTTAAGTGAAATAGGAGGAATGCATATTGCGTTAATGCTAGTGGTCAATTAAAAAGAAACCTTGGAAACTGCCTTCTGCCGAAGTCTTTCCAACTCAGGTTGAACATCTTTTAAAGCCATTGATGTCTTCACCGTTGATTCTGTAGTCACAAACTTCAACTTTTTACTGAGTATCTCTAATGTTCTCATGTACTCCTCATTGACCTGGACAAAAATAAAATATAAGCTCTACTGCAACCATGAAGCACCCAAAGCACCAGAAGTTGCACGTACATAGCTATCCATAAAGCAAGGGAGAAGCTGTAGGTAAAAGACTTTTTGAAACCCCATTTACACACACAACGCCTAATTTGTCAGTATCACAAAGGAAAAATAGTTTTTTGTAATACGTAATAAACTGGCTGATTGATGGTGGATCTGTTTAGAGTCTTAGGACATGCACAAAATAGAAATAAAAAACAATTAGGCCTGATGTTACTTTAGACATATGTCATATACAAAATTAGGCTAGAGACTAATCCATATAAACTTCAGAAGGCATGCAATTTCTTAGTCAAAAACATACTCCAGAGTCCAAAGTAGAAATATATCAAGATCACTTAAAATTTTATGTGATTTGTATGCTCTTCCCTACCATTAAAGAAAAAGTTGAAATTAAAAAAAATTAAATAATAATCTGTTAAATGACTCTGGTCTACCAAAAGATTCTTTAAATTATATCCTTGTGATCGATTTTTTCTACATCAAAAGAGAATTCAAAATTTTGCAAAAATATGTAATGCAAGATAGAAGTGAAAGGAAAAAGAGGATCTTAGAGGATGACCACAGGAGATAGACTCAGAAGGCAGCCAAACCCCTATCCTTTAGGGAATGAGCCTTTGATTTCGTTGTTTCAAAACTCTTTTAAAATATCAAAATATGCAAAGATTATCACTGCTCTTTCTCTAAAGTCAATGATATAAAAAAATATTATCCTCATTCCTCACTCATTAACAGATATGAATCCACAAGTATTAGCAATATGTACCTCACCATCGACGATAATGTCAACCATCCTTGGTGGAACGATTATATCTTCAACAAATTTGGCCAATTTTGATTCTGCCATCTATTAAAGGGAAAACAAACATATAATATTAGCAGCCTGCTGTTGAGTTGAATAACATAGACAGAGAAACAAAACAATAAGTTAATTAAAGATCCCACAAGCTACATTACAAGATAGAAACAAGAATGGAAGAAAAAAGATAAAATCAATGCACAAAACAATTGTGATTTGACATGAGCAAGTACTTGGGGTAAAGAGTAATAAATGCATATACCAATTTCAGGATAATTTACAGTTACAGTTTAACTTTTGAAAGATGAACTCGTAAATAATTAAACCGTTATACCTTGCGGTTCTTCAGCTTCAAGCCCATGTCCATTGACTTCTCTTGGAGAACTTTTATGTCTGAACTTATGGAACCAATCTCAGCCTACTCATATCAACAACATTTTGTTAATTTTTTTAAAAAAATTGAAGGTTACAAAAGTAAGGGCAAACCGCAAACATTACAAATCACCACGAGCTGTCACTTACACAAGATACCAAATTAAAACATATTCTACTGACCTCTCCAAAAATTCACTTATGGTTTGTAAACAATAGCTTCATAAAAGAAGTTCTTTCATACCTGAAATCCGCTTAGAAGGGACTCCATCTGTGACAAGATGGTGTCACAGTCACGAATTTGATCATGAAGTGACACAAGATTATCACTTTCTTTAATATAATCCTGCATGGTTAAGAAGCAAAAAAACTTTGTAACCTTCAACAATTAAACAGACTTCAAGAGTATTTGAGGAAAAGAGCTTGTGATAGAAAATTAAATTAAGGCCCTGTTTGAAAATAACTGGTTATGTAAAAGTGTTTGGTAAATAGTTGTTAATATTAGCTGTTTAACTATTTAAGTGTATGTAATAACTAAAAAGCTAAATATCCAATAAGCTAATTTTAAAAAGCTTTTTTTTTAGCTTTTTCAACAAGAGCTTTCAAGCTCTTTACCAAACAAGGCCTAAATTAACAAGCACAGCAAGAAAGCTATTTAACCATTTAATCAATGTATAATTTCTCAAATATGACTGACAGGGGTAGAATAAAGGAAGATGTTTGTCACAAGGATAAGCCATAATTCCATGGACCCGCATCATCCATTTTTAGGCAAGCCACTCTAAGAAATTTCAGATTCAGTAAACTTAAAGGCCAAAATATACACTTCGAAGCACAAAAACTGCAAACACAAGAAGGTGAGTTCCACTATGCAGTCTCTTTCCAAGGTGTAACACCCATTATCAGGAGCATTTTTTTTAGTCATGGAGCAAAACCATCAGGAACCACCAGATTAAACCAGGAGCCAAACTCTACACTTCAGCAATCCCAACGCTACATTCTCTATGGAGAATCAAAACAAAAGATGATACATCCAACAACTCAGCGATCGAATCTGCTGGTAACTTTTGAAAAGCAGAGAAAGTCAGGCATCTTCAATGGGACTTTGAAACATGCAAACCCATCTTTCTTGTTAACTTTAGCCTTACTCCAGCATGATAAATATCGTTACAGAGCCTTTAGGATGATAACACCCAACCCATACAAAATAATAACAAATAAATTGTAAATTATTTACCACTTACAATGAAAAAGAGGAATGATTGAAACAAAAAGGTTGCCTGAGTATACAATCAAAATGATACAAACCTGTATAGAATCTAATTCACCTTCACGTAAGTTCTTCTCAACAGTCTTTGTATAGTCGCGTAGTTTAATACCTTTTGACAGGATGTTAGCCACAACCTGCATGGAATAATAAATTTACACTGATTTTTACAGACAAGGATTAAACTAAACCAGGCTAAGAATAAATATAGCCACACAAATCAAGAGCTGAAAAGAGAAGAGATCAGCACGTTGACTCATAAGACCTGTTTGCTTTGAAAATGCCAGGATATAATTATCAACAAAATGCAAGCTGGTTATTCATTCTTCCAAATGTAGGATATGATCAAGACGGTTTTTAGGCCAAAAATTTTAGGTTAAAAAGAAAATTTAAGGAAAGAGTGCTTTGAAAATTTTATGGCATCAAAACCATATGCCAGATACAAAACTGTTCAGCGATATAATAATATTCTTCACATTCTAACCACAGGGAGAGAGTCCAGAATTGCAACTTGCAACTGATAGTCCCAAAGCAGCTTGATTAGAAGGGGATAGAATAACTCCTATTATCTATAACATGATTTTCTTTTTCCTATTTGATGGATCAACACACACAAAACCACCAATCACATGATTCACATCACGATTACACCCATAGAAAATATTGTAGGCAATTCAGCTCCAAGCTCACCACATATTCCATAAAGTATCAAGTTAAGGAATTCTACAACAATGATTTTAGATGATAACATGAGCCCTCAATAGTTCCCTATATTTCATCAATGTTACAGGTGTCTAAAACAGCATCAAAATCTACAGATAACTTAAGTTTCCAGCTCATTAGTGTAAGACATTCAACCTCCTTGAAAAAAACCCCACCCATCAACAGATATTAGAGTAAATCTTCAATAACTTCTAGCAATTTTAAGAAATGCCTAGCCAGTAGCTACACAGATACATCATCATCCACACTCCCAAAACTAAGCCAGGACAACTACCAAAACACAAAATACAAGACACAATTGAGAACCTTACATTTCCCTCTACACATAATACTCCTAGCAAGGTTGAAAAATGCTTTGCAACTACACAGATACATCATCATTCACATTCTTCCAAAAGTAAGCTCCGACAACTACCAAAACTGAAGAGTCCACCTTGAACATATACACCAGCATTCAAGCAATATAGCACATAAACGACATATTGACTGGTAACTGGCTTCGGTGTAGTGTAGAAAAACTTACTCACTAAGTGCTATGAAATCCTAGCTCAATCCATTGCCTATTAAATCGATTTATGCGTGATAACATTGATAATCAAGTCATGCCAGAAACTACAATTGGAAAGCAGAGACAATCATAAACAGTAATCAAAAAACTAAAACTAGGTTCCATACTTAACATCGATCTTGTTTCTCAGAAAAGCAAACATGGTAAACTTGCTAAACTGTCAACTCGGAATTAAAATTCCCAAACACAGAGTGCCCTTACATCATCATGTATACATTCTTCCAGCTCTTGTTGTAGCCCTTCAAGTGACACATCATCACTGGAAAATAAGAATAAATTTTGTGTCACGCACTACTAGCAAAACACACAACAATTACATACAGTGTGTTACAAAATGCAGTCACCATTCATAGCCAGGAAGCCAACAAAAAAGGATCATGTCAACTACAGTACAACAAAGCTTTAGTCCCAAAATGATTTCATGTCGACTAACATGAATTGTCGTGAGGAACCGTTCAACTATAGTACAAAGCAAAAAAAAACATTATCCATTCATTTGATGCAGTTGTTTATCTTGTACACACGAGAGCATGATGTGCATTATGCTTCCGGTCTTATGTACTATATGTTCTTCCTTACGGAAACACATCATGCTCTCGGGGTGTATGATCTAATTTGTGCATTCGGGTTTATACAGACACTATACAAGTTAACTTATTGGGTGTATGATCAACAAAGTAGAATCAAAATCTAACCATACCCGAGATCCAAAAACTAGCTTGATAATCACAAAAGATATCTAAATTCATGTTTCAATCACAATTCCCATTTCCTAAACTCGATCAAGGTTACAAATTTTTATAGCATAATAGCACAATTTGATGAATTTATAAGAGAAATGTTACCTGGCGCAATCGTCCTCCATGGATAAATCTCCCACAAAAGCCCCTAAATCAAGGACCTCCATTTGGGACATTACTGGAAAATCCAGGTGGGATTCAGTTGATATGCCCCAATTCGATTTCTGGGAACAGTTTGAATTTGATCGGAATCCCTTTGTTTCAATCTTCTTGTTTGTTTTTCAAATTGAATTGGGTTAAAAGATGGGTATTGGAGGTGAATTGGGATTTGGGAGTAGTAGGATTGTAGGAAGGAGATGATTCGTGACGTTTTTTTTTTATTTTTACACAGTAAGAAAATTTACGGACTTTTCTCCAATCTAAGCCCAATTGACAAAATAAATACCAAAATGGTCGCGTGGTAAAAATATTTACCAAACTAAGCTTCCAGGGCGGACAGCGTTTTATGCCCTGAATTTTTTTTTTAAAAAAAAGTTAACCTAAAAAGCGTTTTTAGTTGTTGACTTTTTAAAAAAAAATTTGTAATTTCTGTTTTTTAAAAATAAAAAGAGAAAAAAAAATTAATAAACACATAAAACGCTGTCTGAGACAGCGTCTTATGTTCAACATAAAACGTTGTCTGAGACAGTGTTTCTCTGCTGGTCTGCAGCACCAGCAGCCAGCAGCCTTTGTTCTCTAATTTCTGCCCCAGCACACCACCCCTTCCTTGATTAAGCCACCTAAGTCAACCACCACCCCACCACCAACCCCCACCGTCGACCACCACCTTCCGCCACTTTTAACTACCATTATGCACTTCAAAACAGTCCAACTACCCCCAACAACACTTCAACCACCTCCACCACCAGCCCCAACCTCTCCACCACCGTCGACCACCACCCACCACAACCAACAGCACTAAAACCACCATGAACCACCACATTAACCACCAAAGGCCATCGCTTCTACCCCGTTTCTGATTATGGATCCCAAATGTCTGCTGTTTGATTATATATCGGTCTAGAAGAATCTATTTTGACTGACATAAGTCCGATTTGGATAAATAAGGAAACTAAACTTCAAACTACACACAGATTCATTCAACAAACATGTATTATATTAATAATGTAATCGTTATATACATCATTCTAGAAAATGTTTGTCTACAACAAATAAATCATACAATACTATCCCGGCTCATCAATTCGGGCTAAAGGTTCCTTAGCCTGAGTGTCGTCTGTCCGTCTACGACGCCGACTGTAATGAGAAATGGTGGTGAATGGGTCTCGGGGCGGTGGGGGAGTGAGTTAGCTGGACGATGTGTCCTCCTGGGTCCCGGTGGGCGCAGTACTGTGGATGACATATTCCTCTGCGTCTATGGGTGTCGTATGATCACCTCCACCGCTACTCTGGCCGGGGTCGAATTGTGAATGGAAGGAGTGTCCATCTTGACTATCCCGCAGGTGGACGAGATAACTGTGACCATGTCTCTGTAAGGAAGTCAAGGACATATCTCGCATCCGCTCGACCTGGGCTCTGGTGGGTCCGTCTGCAAGGGTGAATGACAGTGCATCAAACATCCCCACCATATCCGCCGCCTGCAGTAATCATTGATCAATCAGTTACATGATATATAAAAAATAAAAAAAATGAGGACGATAAGTAGAATAAAAGAAACTCACATATCCGCTAATGACGTCATATGCTGGATGGTAATGTGTGGACGGTAGTGTGTAGCTGGGGTTGATGAAACGGCGTGTAATACGCCTGTACCACACCATGTATGGATCGTGAGGATCCATATCGCCCTGCATCGGATCACCTCGAACGACATAATCCAGCCGTTGCTCCTATAGCTGAAGGAATTGCCAATGCTCCAGTGACCAGTTTATCTCCCTCTTTCCCCACCGGTCAATGTCGTGAAGGCGTACACTAGTGTCACAGTGCTGGGGAATAGGCTGGCATAGCTGGAACTGTCGCATGATGCGGTCGGGTAGGTGACTCTCCATGACCTCGAAACAAATCAGGGGACCCTGGCACGCCACTCTGCCTGATGATCCAGTAGATGTGCAGGCACGACATCTACCAACTCCGGTACATACGGATCCCGGGTGATCTGCAATAACACACCAAAATAAATGTTATAATTAAGTTAGTCCACATACAGTATCCAGTAGTGTGTTTGATGGGTTGGTTGCCGCTACAACTGGTGTTGCCATGGCTGGGCAGTGGGCTACAAAGGTGGTTCAATAAGGGGGAAATGGTTGAGGAAAAGGGGAAATCGAGGAAGAAGAAGGAAAAAGGGAAAGAAAAAAAAAAAAAGTCATGTGCCAAGCACGTGTTTTTTTTTTGGCCTGAAAATAGAAGTCAACGCCGGAAGTTGGTCGGAATTTGGTCAAAGGCCCCTCCTCACCACCCAACTGACTTATAAGGACCTTTGATGCCACCTTTTTTTTATAAGGACCTTTGTCACAAGGTCGTCTCTTTAAAAGGCTCTTCCTTGCAATTTTTCCTAAAAAAAACTTTAATTTAGATTGTAAAAACTTATGTGAAATATGTAAAAAGTAATAATGAGGTCAAGCCCACTCATTCTATTCTCACCTTCCCCAAATTTGCAATCTTGTTTATTATTGATCATTAGGTAGAGTATTATACAAAACCTAAGCTTATAAGATAGAAAAAACAATTTTTCTAAAAGATATACTAACATAACCATAATTCCTAAACACATATTCTCTAAATAATATATTAAAATAAACCTAGATATATTAGGGGGCATTTGGTTGAGGGGTTTCAAGAAACGGAATGGGAATCAACTGCCATGATTCCCTTTAATGTTGTTTGTTTGTCTAATTTAATCATTCTCTTTCCCCTTTGATTACCCAATTTTCTTCCATCGTGATTCCCCCCCCCCCCAAGGGAATCATCCATTACCCCAAAATCCTCTACACTTAACAACCATAACCAACTTTGACCACCATTAAAACATACACCACCACCTGACTTGGTCTACCAACAACCTCCCACTACCCCCACCGACGACCCCACCGTAGGCGTCACCACCACCGACGACCCCACCGTAGCCGTCACCATCACCGACGACCCCACCTTCAAACGCCCCTAAAACTCCAACGCTCCACGAAACCACTTTGAAACTATCATGATACCACCACAACCACCCCGAAGCCCCACCACCACCAGAAAAAACCACATACAACCTCCCAATTACTACTAATTTTGAAATTAAAAAAATTATAAGTGAAAAAATTACCTTTTTATATCATCAAATATGGCTTTAGATGGTCAGATACACCCATAAAAACTCCAGATCTAGAGTTTTTAAGGGTGAATTTGACCTTTAAAACCTTAAATTTTACGAGTACAATTTATGGTGGAGGTACTAGAATAAGATGAGAGAGAAAATGTCGGTTGTGGGGCCTTAGAGAGGCAGCGGCGTGAAGGTGGCGGTGACAACAGGGAAGGACTTCAGGATGGAGTGGGTGGTGCTCCATTAATATGAGGGAGAGCTAATTTTGAGAAGTTGGTGGAAGATCTGTAACTTATTACTTACGTAACCCAAACAACATACTACATCAAAGGGTATCATTTCCTTTCCCCGTCAATCCCTTTCTTGATTCCATTCTGTTTACCCCGTCTGAACTAAATGACCCTTATTCTCTTAATGATATCTACGAAAAATATATCACACATATATTTTCCAATATCTCGTATCTCTAACACCCTCCTGCAATCGTAACGACAGTAACGAGAACGTTGCAATTGGAAATTCTTCACTTTGTTGAAGTCGATCGAGTTGAACTACTCTGTTGATGTCGCCTTCAAAATTTTTTTTCTTGAATGATGAGAATGTTTAGCTTTTCGAACCCATCAATCATCAACCAAGCGGGAACGTGAAAGGCTAAAGTCATATCACCTAATCAAAAGAATTACCTAATTCATCTAATTAAAGTAGATAGGAAATTAGGGTCGAATCCACAGGGAAACAAGTCTTCCTATTCCTAATTAATTATTATAATCTAAATTATAACGAAACAAGTAAGAATTGTGAAAATTATGCTACAGGCTATAATTAAACGAAGGGAATAATCAATAATAAAAAGGCTAGGGTATAGGTTCACCAATAAATAATATTCCAGGGTAAAATACAACAATCAATTATCAATGCATCAATTGATCAAATCATAAAAGGCTTTCACTACGTATTATAATCACAGAATTAATCTACCGGTATTAAATTGCATCTCTCGAATCTTGACTTAACCATTTATAAATCAATCTGCCTATTGAAACTAAGACTAAACATCAATTCTCATATCTCGAATCGTGAATCAATATTGCATAACTCATACAATTAAACCAGCTCTAATTTAATTACATAGCATTAAATTAATCAATAGGAAATCAACCAAAGCATTAACAATCAACAATAATAAATTACCCCTTCATATTATTTATGGATCCCCAAAACCCTAGAATTAAACTACTCGTACATAATTAAAACTAAACTAACCAAAGCAATTAAGCAAAGCATAATTAATCAAAGCAATTAAATTACTGAAAATAAAAGGGGAAGAAATCGTTACCAAAATATACGGAAATAATGAATTGCATAAAACTCAAAGTGTAGAGAGAGAAAATAAGAGTATTAACTAAAAGCTTAAAGCTAAAAACTGAGAATTAACTAATGAATAAAACGTCGAGAGAGTACTTAACCCGCTTAACACGTATTTATACTTAAGCTAGGAAACCTAAGCTAAAACAAAGATTAAAAGTCTCTAAACATCCTCAGAAACACGCGCCCGATTGGGCGGCATCTCGCCCGGCCGGGCCCGCCTTTTTGCTAATGTCTTCTTCACTCACACCCGGTAGGGCGCGAGACTGGGCGAAGCAATGCTTTTCTTCTGTATGCCTCGCCCGGCCGGGCGCACCTCAGGGCGAGACACCTACCCGGTCGGGCGAGCTCTCGGGCGCAATGGACTTCTTCAATTAGGTTGTTTCTTAGCCCAATTCGCATTTCCTTTTTGGGTCCTTAAGACTCGGTCCATTGCCACAAACTCTTCTTCTTCACCGAGCCCTTAATCATCGGTTTGATTGCTCCAACGCGGTCTTGGGCTACGAAATATGGTCATAAGAATGCGATCCCACTCCAATGCTCGTAGTGGCTCAAATAAGTCCAGGAAAATGCTTCGAATTTGCAATTTCCTATAAAGCAATACCAAAAACTACGAAAACACTAGAAAACACATATTAGTAATAAAAGTGGCTCAAAAGAGCCAAAAATATTCCTAACTATGACCAAGGGACGGGGGTAAAACACTATATAAAATGAACATATCAGAACGTCATTCTTTTCGAACCTGCAAAAATAAAATTACGAGGATGTCTACTCTTTTTCTCGAACTTGTCATATGCTTGGCTTGTCGTCTCAAGGTATAATGTCCTGTCGTCTCAAGGTACAAGGAGAACAAAACCCTGTCTCACGGCACAAGGAGAACCCATATATAAAACTCTGTCTCATGACACAAGGAGAGCCAAAATATATTATCTTGTCTCACGACACAAGAGAGTCGATTTTTTTTAATCAATTCCTTTGTTTTCTTTCTCTTTTTTTATTTCCCCTCAAGATACCATAAACCACTACCAATAAACTACTCCTGATATAATTTATATAATTATATCAAGTCATCAAACTCAAATTCTTCACCAACACAGGAATAAACTTGCACAGCGGAAGTAATTATGAAAAAAAAATTGTAATTTTTACTAAAGTTCTATAAATCCCACCGGTGGGT